TTTCCAAATATTGCATTATTCATCAGCTTAAAAAAGTCTTTTTGGAAAGCCGATGATGCTGCAGCTCTTCTTTTTGTGTTTGAGTCAATGTATGTTTTTAACCAACATGATTGATTAAACTGTAAAACACGGTGAACCTTTTTTAATTTTAGACCAAGTTCGATGGCTTGTTGGACAACCCAAAAATGGGCAACATAGCGTTCCTTGTCGTTAAGCGTCATCATCAGCTTAGGATGTTTTCCGTCTGGTGGTATTTCAGATTTAGCTAATAGAGGTAAATCATAGTGATGATCATGAAGTGTGGATGGGTATTCAAAATCACACTCCATTATGAATCCGGTGTCTCCATTTTTTGGGATACTTGTTACATCACCTAATAATATTGGATCAATCCATTGAAAATTACCATATGGAAGTGGGTTTGACATTGCCCACCCATATAAGTTATTGGCGTCAAAATACCCTAAATAAACTGATGGGTCCTCCTTCTTGAAGTTTGGAATGTGTTTATTATTTGCTTTGACATGCCTTGTTACACTCTGGGTAAGTCCCCCACGGATACTAGATTCAATCATAAGCACCATATCAATGTCTGTTAACAGCTGTAATGTACATTTTGTTTCTTTTAACATAGCTTGCCAAGCTAATCCAGGCGAGGTGTATGAATGTAGAGGGTCTAATCCGTAGGCCGCTATACAGGTGTTACGGAATTCCTCCATTATATCACAAAGAAGTGTTACATCTAACTTCACATAAAAGTCACTATACTCGCCTAAGGTGTTCATGTTTAACTCACTCCATACCTGACAAGCATGTTGATAGTCTTCAGGGTCAATATTAGAATCATTTAACTGACTGTAAAATGCCTCAATGGGTGGTAGTGAGGTCTCGTTAAATCTTTCAGGATTATCAATATAATCATAAGGGTACACTCCTTTACGAAGAACCAAATCCATGTGATCAGATGCGACAATCTTTTGAGTTTCAATAAAATGTTCTCTTTGCAAATTAGCTGTCAATTTCTCTAAACTAGAAGCCATGAATCTGAAAGAGTCTACAAACCTTAATTTTATTTTACCCACTTTTTTCGAAAAACTAATAAATTTCTCCGTACTTGTAGCTAAAACATCAATCGCCCCTTTGTCTCTACCTAATTCAGGAATTATGAAATGAGAGTCATATCCACTTAAATTGTGGAACACTATTGGGATAAACTTTGGTAATTTAAAATTAATGTTACAACTGTTGCAAGCAGGGCCTTTGTAAAAACCAGTCAGGTGATCATGATCCCGAACACGCCTGTTGTCTTCTGTAAAACTACAGTCACAAAGGTAACATCTATCCGCACTTTCATGGAATGTCAATTCATCATGTGTAAGATTAATCATTGGAACTACATAACTATACAGTTTTTCCACCTTATTAGCTATATCATAAAGGTTATCTACAAATGACTTAGCAGCATTTTCACCGCGATATACAAGTGGTTGGGTTGTCAACCCGTACTGACGTAAATGATCTTCATCCAAAGTTGATTTAAGCATTAAACAAAAGCTGTTTGGTTCATGAAATTGAATTTTTTTAATTTTGCTTTGATCACACTCATCTAAAACTAAAGGAACTAACGATGACTCAAAGTCTGCATATATAACAATTGGTATTCGATATTGTTGAGCCGTTTTGTTGAATTTAATAAAAGCTCTATTAGGGTGAGGTAATTTAACCCTTACTTCGTCCTTACTATTGCAGAGACGTTGGTGGTCAAGTAACCATTCCTTACCCCCCAAATGAAATGGTTTGGCAGCGTAGCAAAAACACCGTTTGCAAATGGTGAGACTCATCTTCCTTTTGGATAACTGTCTTGATAAAAGTGCGTAAAAGTTTTTTATGTAAACATAATGTGAGATTTTACCATTTGTAAGAAGTAAAAGATCTGTATGGTCTCTACGTTCATGAGATGTAATCTGAATAGGAAACACATTATTAGACTCATCCAATCCATACACATTAACGGATGAATTAAGATTTTGTTTTTCGAATTTCTTGATATCTTTTAAAGACACTGGGTAAACCAAACCTGTAAAATTATATTTATGAGCCACTTCACTATAATAACGGCTTGGTCTATAGGCGTGCCTGTCTTCAACAAACTTTGCTAAAACAGCATACTTAAAACACTCATTGTCTTCATTTTGAACATTTATGCAAGTTCTTGTATTAGCAATCTTTTTGGGCAGTGGGATGAAACTACTACCTCTATCACCATACCCATGTTTATGTACACGTATATCTAAGCTGTCTACGCTTAACAAAGACCACCCAGATCCTCTTCCTTCATGTTCAGATATTTTAACAACAATTTCTTCCAAGCAACTGTCGACTTCAGCCTCCAGATCAGTGGTTACCATGATGGATTTATTTCGTGTTATAAACCCCCGAGGGGACACCTCATTTTGTACATTTGTAAATCTAGTGTCCAAGAGCAAGCCAAATTTGATAAAATTAAGTCTGGTTAGTTCCTGTTGTAGTGTTTTTATGATAAGGGGTTTAGCTTTTAAAATAAAATCTGACAAATCATAATTTGTATTAGAAATTTTGAAATGGTTTACTATGGCTTTAGGAAATGCTTGGGCTAATATTTCTACTGATAATTGTTGGTTTGGTGGTGCATACTGTATAACTGTTGGTCTGTTCTGTTGTAAGAAGGGGTCTTCAATCAAATCTTCATATTCCATAGGTGTTGAAGATTCATTAGACATATGTAATAGTTCATTATGAATATTGAGGAGAAATTCATCCTCAAAAGACTCATGACAATTTTCACATTGATACATTTTCGTAGTTTAAGACACTACTAAGGAAACTAGCTACATTACACACTGCATGGTTGTGTTCATAGGAATGATATCAGTTGCGTGCGTGACTTATATATATAACACAGTGTATAACCCCCCACTCTATTTATTCAATAAGGGGGAGGGGATTAGACCCCAACCCTTTCCACCAATGGCATAAGTATTTTATGGTGGTGGTGGGGGTCGTGGGCGGGATTTTATAATAACGCAGGAAGCAGCATTATAGCTTACATATTCGCAATGCCTCCTACGGACCACACGAACCTTACTGGAGTAGAGCCTCGAATCTGGGAGACTGATTTTGATGAAGCACAAAATGAAAGTGATACAGAAAACGACGAGGACTTGCAAGAGATGCTAGAGGAAGAACAACTGGACGAGGATGTGAACAACGAACAAGGTCAACCCACACCGAACAATGAATTTCATTCGGACTACTGTGAAACACCAAAGATTCCAGTTCAAGCAGATGAAGTTGAAAATGGAGAAAATAAACTTTGTCGAGTATTACAGTTTTGTGGCAATGTTCGAAGAAGATTATCCTTTAGTTCAGAGAGTGAATCTGAAAATATGTAGCTTTTTACCATTTTTTAAAAACTCTTCAGTTTAACCTTGACCTAATTGTTGGACACAGTTAATCAAGCTAATAGCATCATTACATATTACATCTTAGCAATTTTTAAGTCATGGTGACGTAGCAGAACAAACTATTTGCAATGTTAAAAACATAAAATTCTGGTATATTTATTCCTATTCTTGCTACAAAACGAATGTAGACAAAGTATTATGGCTACTAATAATTTATATATTCATTGGCTATGTCTAATAAAATTCAACACTACTTAAGTATAAATTTGACAACAACTAAAAAGTTTTGTGGTAATTTTCGAAGAAGTTTATCCTTTAGTTCAGAGAGTGAATCAGAAGATATGTAGCTGATTTTATTATTTTTTAAAAACTCTTCAGTTTAACCTTGACCTAATTGTTGGACAAAGTTATTAAGCTAATAAAATTTCCGCAACTGTATTGATCATAAAAACGATACATCTTTACGTCTTAGTAATTTGCAATATTAAAAATGGATCAGTAGGGGTTTTAATAAGAAAAACCAAACATAGAAACTTCTATCATATTTATTTCCATACTAAAAAACGAATGGTAACAAAGTATTATGGTTGCTAACCATTTATATGTTTGTTTTCTATGTCTTGTAAAGTTCAACACTACTTAAGTATAAAATGTACAACTACTATTCAAGTAAACCTGTTAACAAAGATGAAATGTAAAGGAATTAACCTTAAACAGTTAATGCAAATAAATTTTGTGTTTGTATGCCTAGATGCCTTTGAGGATTATGAAAATATATTGAGTTATATCATAAAGTGTTACACTTAATTTATACACAATGGCAATGAAGATCTTTTTGCAAAACACGAGATAAACATAATATATCTTTTAAATGTCCTTAGAATAGTTAATTTTACAATATAGAAAAATGTTGATGTAATATTGGACAACTTGAACAATCAATATGTTTTCTAAAATAACTTTATCAAAATATTATACATGAAACTTTGCGAACACATTGTTAGGATATAACAAATTTGTTTCTAATGTTTTATGAATAAATTAGATGGAAATCTCTGATTAAAATAATCTATTTCTAAAATCTCAAGGTCACTCTTTAAATGCAAAAATTGGGAACGCATTTGTTAGGCTATAACAAATGCGTTCCCAATTTTTGCATACTAAAGGAGAATTTAGAGGATAATTAAGATCAATTTGAAACTAAACCAATTTATAATGTTACAGATGCCCATCCCGAAGACCGATCACGAATTATGTAGTATCGGTGGGTTGTATTCGGGATGGTCATGCCTCTGGGTAATTTAAGTCGGAACCTGTCTTTTCCTTCTCTTAAAATGACTTCACCGTTTGGTGTCATCAAAAGAATTTCGAATTTACGATTTTTGGGTAGCCTATCAATTCTGGTTTTTTTAGCTTGAATTTGTGGTGGACGACAGGGTCGAGCAAAGCCTGACGTTCGTGGTTGGCTAGGCAAAATCTTGTCTATCACAACAACACGTGAGGTGCTCGGTGTTGGATCAGATGTACAAGATTTTTCCTGAGCCTGGCTTTTGACGATTATTGATGGTCTTTCAAATGACTGAGGATTGGTAGCGACAGGTTTGCTGCTAATAATTTTAGGTTGAGTGGGTACCATCCTGCTTTTCCCCTTAGTGTGGAGGCTGCACACATTAGCATCAGAAAAGCAGGACTTTTCACAACGCTCACCTTTTTTCACCCCTTTTTGGAAAATATAAGAACATTGTGGCTTGGGCTTAAATGCAGCTCGTCTTTTGGCCATGAGTTTTACCAATTTTTCAGAAGGGTTTGAATGGGGGGGAAGGGATTCTTTTGAGGATTCAGTTTTAGTAAAGAGTTTTCTAACAACGGTGGGTGCAGCAGGGAGGGATTTGGGTGGGGGGTTTGGAATGGTAATTTCAGGAGAATCTATGTCAGGCATTTGGTTCGAGGAGGAATTTAAATTAGGAAGAGTTAGGCTATGTGGTTGAGGTTTTGGAGATGGCTTACGTTTGGGAGTGAATGGCTTTTCTGGAGATTTAATAGGAGATAGCAAGGAGAGAATTATGGGAGAGAGAAGCATGGATAGAGGGGACTTAATTGTTTGATTTTTGGGCGATGACGTAGAAGAAGAGGACGAGGACGATGAAGAAGACGAGGAAGATGATGACGAAGAAGAAGAAGAGGAAGACGATGAATCAGACCGTTTCTTCGACGAAGTGTTACCAGAAGAAGGTTTCTTCAATCTATCTTCAAACAAAGCAGAAGAAGATCCTGGCTGCGAAAGAGTCTTGGCGGCAAGGGAAGATTGAGTTGATATTGTAGTTGTTTTCTTTGCATCGTCAGACAAAGCAGATGAAGAGGATCCCGGCTGCGACAGAGTCTTGCCTGGCTGCGAAAGAGTCTTGGCGGCAGATGAAGAGGATCCCGGCTGCGACAGAGTCTTGTTGACCAGGGTTTCAGAAGGAGTTGATGATTTCATCTTCTTAACACCTCCAGTCAACGCCTCCTGAAGTTTAGATCTCTTCATGCCTGCCACTGGCTTCATTGGCTTGGTAGTCTTTCTTAAGCAGGGGTCCATGGCTTTTCTGCAGGCTGGCAACAGAATGATGTTATTAACCAATATGCTCTCTCATTTATACCCACCCTAAGTGGTGGGGGATATAGATAGACAGAGTGGGGGAAGATTTGAGTGTGGTAAAGAGGTGGGGGAATAAGTACATCTAAAAGGAGGAGTTGCATGTGGGCAGAGAAACTATTTTAAAGATAAAGTTTCAAACAACCAATAATACAAGTAGGTCAAGGTCATTAGTTATTTAAAAAAAAACATGCAAAGATTCAAACCACTAACACCAAGTCACAACTACTAAAGCAAATTATCTAGCAAGAAAGACTAAACAGTACATGCATGAAGAACTTTTAGACATATAACATAGGCAAGGGCTTGAAAGGAGCAGCTTGGGTTTACCATTGCTGTATGTTAAGGAAGGGTAGAAATGGGACTTGGTTTGACCACTGTCGCATGTTCAGGAAGGATTTAAATACAACTTGGTTTGACCACTGTTGTATGTAAAGGATGGATAGAAATGCAACTTGGTTTGACCACTGTCGCATGTTCAGGAAGGATTTAAATACAACTTGGTTTGACCACTGTTGTATGTAAAGGATGGATAGAAATGCAACTTGGTTTGACCACTGTCGCATGTTCAGGAAGGATTTAAATACAACTTGGTTTGACCACTGTTGTATGTAAAGGATGGATAGAAATGCAACTTGGTTTGACCACTGTCGCATGTTCAGGAAGGATTTAAATACAACTTGGTTTGACCACTGTTGTATGTAAAGGATGGATAGAAATGCAACTTGGTTTGACCACTGTCGCATGTTCAGGAAGGATTTAAATACAACTTGGTTTGACCACTGTTGTATGTAAAGGATGGATAGAAATGCAACTTGGTTTGACCACTGTCGCATGTTCAGGAAGGATTTAAATACAACTTGGTTTGACCACTGTTGTATGTAAAGGATGGATAGAAATGCAACTTGGTTTGACCACTGTCGCATGTTCAGGAAGGATTTAAATACAACTTGGTTTGACCACTGTTGTATGTAAAGGATGGATAGAAATGCAACTTGGTTTGACCACTGTCGCATGTTCAGGAAGGATTTAAATACAACTTGGTTTGACCACTGTTGTATGTAAAGGATGGATAGAAATGCAACTTGGTTTGACCACTGTCGCATGATAAAGATTCATTCAAACCCTAGATAGACAAGGGTTTGAAAGGAGACAGAACATGATGTGTACCGTGCGAGTACACAAGATGTAGTGAGGTTTGAAAGAGATTCAACTAGTTTTGTGCGCTCTGGTGGGGGGTTGGACTAAGTGGAGGCGTGGTCTACTCAGCCAATCACAGGACAGGTAGCGTAGTGGGGACGGGGCTTGCTGGAGGCGTGGTCTACCCACCCAATCAAAGGATATGAGGTGTAGTGGGGGACTAGCAAGAGCAGCCATTAATTATTAATATTTATTTTGATATTAATATTATTTGAAAGATAGCGGAATAGCCGTTTTAATAATCCAAAACAAGATACGTGATTTTATAATACTTATGGAGATGCAAATTACAATTTAAAATATATTTTTTGGCTTAAGAATGTTCAATAATACAAGAAACAATAAGAACGAGATATGAAGTAAATTAAATTATTAACCGAGCTAAGTAAAATAAACACATAACAATCGTAGCATTTTACAAATACTATTAACTAAAATATATTTAGTTGTACATGTATTTTTTAAGGAAAGATTACAAAGAGATAGAAACCATCTGAACTATGCGTAAACTAAGATTTTTCAAATAATTACCTGTAGTAAATCAGGAATACTCCGTGTTTCAAGTAAAGCTGCGTTAGTTAACTCTAGAAGAAAAAAAAACACATTAGGCAATTAAGTATTAGAACCATTTTATATGTTTATTTTGAGAAGAACAAATCATATGTTAAGAAAATCGTATAAAAAACAACCAATTTAATCGAGCTATATTTTAATAAAGTCAGCAACTGACTATGAGAAGTACCTTGATTAATATTATAATTTAAGAGCATAACAAAAAGTGAAACAATTCATGTACGTGAGAAAGCAATTTGAGATAAAAGAACAAAGAATAATTTAATATAAATACTATTAACTAAAATATATTTAGTTGTACATGTATTTTTTAAGGAAAGATTACAAAGAGATAGAAACCATCTGAACTATGCGTAAACTAAGATTTTTCAAATAATTACCTGTAGTAAATCAGGAATACTCCGTGTTTCAAGTAAAGCTGCGTTAGTTAACTCTAGAAGAAAAAAAAACACATTAAGCAATTAAGTATTAGAACCATTTTATATGTTTATTTTGAGAAGAACAAATCATATGTTAAGAAAATCGTATAAAAAACAACCAATTTAATCGAGCTATATTTTAATAAAGTCAGCAACTGACTATGAGAAGTACCTTGATTAATATTATAATTTAAGAGCGTAACAAAAAGTGAAACAATTCATGTACGTGAGAAAGCAATTTGAGATAAAAGAACAAAGAATAATTTAATATAAATACTATTAACTAAAATATATTTAGTTGTACATGTATTTTTTAAGGAAAGATTACAAAGAGATAGAAACCATCTGAACTATGCGTAAACTAAGATTTTTCAAATAATTACCTGTAGTAAATCAGGAATACTCCGTGTTTCAAGTAAAGCTGCGTTAGTTAACTCTAGAAGAAAAAAAAACACATTAAGCAATTAAGTATTAGAACCATTTTATATGTTTATTTTGAGAAGAACAAGTCATATGTTAAGAAAATCGTATAAAAAACAACCAATTTAATCGAGCTATATTTTAATAAAGTCGCCAACTGACTATGAGAAGTACCTTGATTAATATTATAATTTAAGAGCGTAACAAAAAGTGAGTCAATTCATGTACGTGAGAAAGCAATTTGAGATAAAAGAACAAAGAATAATTTAATATAAAAATTGTTAAGTAAAATATATAGTTTTCTATTATGATTATTAGAATGTGAAGAAATTTTTACGTATGTCAATAAAGCAATCCTCAATAAAAAACAAAGTATAATTTTAGGCAATCACATTTTACCTTTTATAATCCAAACAAGTTAATAATTAATGTATTAGAGTCATATTTAGATATCTCGTTTTGTGAAGAACAATTTATACGTTTATACATTGTTAGTTAAGGAAATCGGTAAACATTTTTTCAATCTTAAAAATGTTTAGTTATTCAGTTTAATCAGTCCATATTTTAACAAATACAAAAACAACAAAAGGTAATTAATATTATCATTAGGACTACAACAAAATATGAGGTGAACTTGAATAAACATACATTTATTTTGGCAAGGACAATGTACATTATAAGATATTTTTTTATCCTAAATCATTTATTTTTTATTATAATATAATGATTTGAGGTAAATGATATAGTTTTTTGTTTGTATATATCACAAGAAAGATTATTTGCGGTTTACATAACATCTGTTACAAAATGTGAGACATTAAATACGTATAGTGATTTAGCGATATTGGAATACCAATTTTCTTAAAAACATAAAACCATTGACTATACACAGAATAGACTTCCCAAGTAATGTAAAAATTTGAAGCAAAAAAGAAACGTAGTGCAATCTGTTAAGTGATAAATCAATCAGCTGTTTGCTATGTACTGCATTAGTTTTAATTAATAGTCAACAAAATACACTAGTAAACTCTAGTGAGATTGGCCTCAAATTTTTATATCACGTGAAAAGACTAAAAACTCACTGCCAATACCTAAACTATTTCTAATCGAAAGCCGTTTTATTCTGTAGAAAATTATTATAAAATAGGCGGTAAAAATGGTTGTAACGTATATTGTTGTATTCATACAGCAAAAGAATTTTTGAGTTAAGATAAGTGTTTTGTAAGTGCAGATTTACCGAAATATTTATTTATAGTCTTGTAAAGTTTTCATATAATTAGGATTATATTTGAAAGATAAGTTAGTTTCGTTTTTATACTATGAGAAAGGTTGTATTTAAATGATTAGACAAAATAGTGGTAGGATCTTTTATACAAATAGTTGAGCTAATTTAAGTAATGATTAAGGAATGAGCTTCTTATAAATAAATAGTAAAAGCTAATATATATTAGGATACTATATGTATATGACAAGAAAAATTAATTACCTGTATATTTAGGGAATATTCCACAAATCACAATGGGACGACGTGTATCACAAACTGGAAACACTTAAACTTAAAATACAACAGGGAAATATAATTAAAACTCTGGAAATTACAAAATGTGACAGGATAAAATTGCTTGACACAAAGCAGTACGCAATACGAATGAAGCGTGTCTAGTTTGCGCGACAAACAACAATCTTGAACACAATGCAGAAACAATAATAGGTTAACTTACCTCCTACATAGATAAAATAATCCATTAACAAAAAGCCGTAACACCGCTAAGCGTAATCAGTGACGCTAGAAAAAGTAAAGCAATAACAGTTAATCACATGTCGGTCCCCCGCGAGAACGAGTAGGCCTAGTTATTTATAGGCACACACATGCGAACACTCACATCTGTTGTCGTTCCGTGAGAATCATCTCTCGGAAGATTGAAACGTCTCTGTGCAAACATTTAGAATTTCTGTAAACACTATATAAGTGTTAACAGAGTAAACTACAGATCATTTGACTCTTAGCTACCGTCAGGAAAACATGTCTGCAAGAAATTCAGCTCCTATTCAAGACCCCAAAATATCTTCAACATCGAATATCTCAAATAATAATATTCAAGAACAAAACACTCAAGAACAAAACACTCAAGAACAAAACGCAGTAGACGTAACTATGTCACCGATACAGAACTCACAAGTATCTAGTACCTCGTACTTTCTCCGCCCAGAGTTCGAAGATTATATGAGACAGCTAGTTGATGGATAGTTAAATGGAACAATACATATTTTTACAATCCAGTACATGGTATATTTGAAACATTAAAGCTGAACATTTAAAAAAACACATTCAGACAACCTTGACCTAATAACAATACCAACCAATCCACAACATACATCGCCAGAGTCGCTGCGTAATTCACGCTGCTCCACAATCACAAAATACTTACCAATTACCTAATTATGACGTCACGGGATCACCCCCGTGTTTTATACTACTGATGTAAGCATTTTTATTCAAAAAAGTGTGCCCGCTGGAAATTCTATAATTGTGAAGTTGGCGTACCCACTTTGTATGCCTCGTAACTTTTTTATTTTTTGAGAACTAACGTTAATATTGGAGAACTATCGAGAACTAACGAAGAACTAACGATTGGTATATAGATGTAAGCATTTTTATTCAAAAAAGTGTGCCCGCTGGAAATTCTATAATTGTGAAGTTGGCGTACCCACTTTGTATGCCTCGTAACTTTTTTATTTTTTGAGAAATAACGTTAATATTGGAGAACTATCGAGAACTAACGAAGAACTAACGATTGGTATATAGATATAAGCATTTTTATTCAAAAAAGTGTGCCCGCTGGAAATTCTATAATTGTGAAGTTGGCGTACCCACTTTGTATGCCTCGTAACTTTTTTATTTTTTGAGAACTAACGTTAATATTGGAGAACTATCGAGAACTAACGAAGAACTAACGATTGATATATAGATGTAAACATTTCTCATCAGGAAACGGCGTGCGCTAGAACCCGGAAGTGTGAAGTTAGCGTACCCACTTATTATCGGCTATAACTTTTTTATTTTTTGAAAACTAACGACAAAATTTGGGAACTATCAAGAACTAACGATGAACTAACGATTGGTATGATCAAAAGTGGATACGCTAATATGGGTACGCCAACTTCACGGACCTGATGAGGACTGCAGGACGGTAACGACAACATGAAGACGTCATTGATAATGCGTGTCTTCATCAATCACCACAAATTCAGGATCACCTGCCACTGTCATCTGTGTTATCTGTTGTTCTACAGAATTCAGAAGATTTATATTGCTTACATTATTAAACACATTATTAAGGTTTACATTCCTTATATATTTGTCTTTATAATACAATATAAAAATCATCAGTTGATGTAATACGAACGACAAACAGTTGAGCATACAGATTGCGTATATTAACATCGTTCGGCTAGAGCTATTGAACAATTAAAATTTAATCACTATCCTAACCTTTGTACGAATTAATTCTAAAAAGTCCATTCCTTATTTTTAAATGACCATTTCTTAAGGAAATTATTAAAGATAGGGTTTAGGGTTATTGATCCTAGCTTTGTTATTTGTTGTATTGTTATGTATTTTTATTTTGAAAAATAATTAATCATAGTCACAATTAATGTGTCTTGCTGTTCTCATTTTGGGTTACAACCTACCCATAATTTGCCTATTTAAGGCAAAATATTCAGAATTTAAATAATTAAAAACTAATTATGTCACATATAATCACATCATATTGCAGTTTATTGGAAATAGATGGAATACATTAAGCTGCTTTTACGTACATTTCCATATACATGATAAGATTACAAGTACAACTATTACGCATTACAGGAATTGTGTTATTATTGTATTATTCTATAAATAAAACACAATTAGTCATTAAAACAATCACATTTATCATTTAACTGTGTATACATAGGTTGAATATCTTTAACAAAACCTATGTATTACACCTAGTGCATTAAAAAGCATGACAGCAATTTCGAGAAAGCATTTACGTTTTATGGTATTACATGTGGATTTTTGTTATGAATAAAACACTTTTGGTAGGTATTCAAAAGATTGGTGTACAATAAGATCATATTCAATGAGAAAGTGTAGTAATAACGCATGTAATTACCCTATAGTATTGTA